CCTATACCTTGGAAAGATGCTAACATCATCCCAATCCCGAAAGCCCAACCGATAACGTGTGAGGATGAAACCCGTCCAATTGCCCTCACTGCCACTCTGTCAAAAGTTTTGGAAGACTTCGTTGTTACCTGGATGATTGATGATGTCAAAGACAAAATCGATCCGAAGCAATTTGGTAGCTTAAGGGGATCTTCTACAACATTCTCCCTTATTGATATGATTAACAACTGGTTGCAGGCACTGGATAGCCCAAAACGGTATCTACGTATTTGTTTTTTGGATTTCTCCAAAGCTTTTGACAGAATCAACCATAACATTTTGATTGCGAAACTCATAGCCCTTGGAGTAAGAAGATGTTTGATCCCATGGATATGTGATTTTCTTTCAAATCGTCGTCAGGCAGTGAAAATTAATGAGTCTCGCTCGGAGTGGGCTTATGTAAATGGCGGTGTCCCTCAAGGAACAAAACTTGGCCCTATCTTGTTCTTAGTTATGATTAATGATCTGAAAATGAAGTCCCTAAACTCCTCTCATTGGAAATACGTTGACGATGTAACGATTTCTGAGGTTATAAAAGAAACTGAGGAATCGCGATTACAAACTGAACTCAATGAACTCCAACAATGGGCATGTGAGAATGATATGAAACTGAATGGGTTGAAATGCAAGAAAATGGTTGTCAGCTTTTTACGACAAAGTGATAACTATACTCCATTACACATTAATGATCAACAATTGGAACTGGTTACATCTTTCAAGATTTTGGGTTTGACTATTAATAATCACCTTAAATGGAATGATAACGTTGCAATTATCGTAAAAAAAGCGTCGAAACGCCTTTACATCCTTCGGGTGTTGCGTCGATCTGGAATTCCACCCGCTGACTTGCTCTCAATCTATAACGCCTTAATCAGATCTGTTTTGGAATATGCTTGTGCAGTCTGGCATACCAGCCTACCTCAGTATCTTTCCAACAAAATTGAACGGGTGCAGAAACGTGCTCTGCGAATTCTGTACCCTTTCACTGATTATGCGGAAGCCTTATCTATCAGTCGTTGTTCTCGCCTTGATGATAGAAGGCAGTCAATATGTCAGAATACCTTACAAAAGATTGCTAATCCTTGCTCGAAACTGTACCACTTGTTGCCGTCAACTCGTGGAAACGTCCATGGACGGAGTTTGAGAAATAATAATCAATTATCGCTTCCCAAATGTAGAACTGAGAGGTTTAAGAACAGTTTTATCCCGGCAATGTGCTATAGTCAAGTTGACGTATAGGCCTTTATGGTCTTAATTTGTATATTAGGTTTTAACATTTATATTAGATATAGTAATTAATATTCTAGCATTTTTGTAAATTTTAGTATATTTCCATGTAAGCATATTGTAATTCATTTTCAATGCGATAATATGCAAATAAACCATTAATATTAAATAATAATTGTGGTTAGCATTATCATCTTGCACAACATTATTTAACACATTTTGCTAGTGTGTTTACCAATTTGGTACAATAACGACTTGCATTAGGAGAATTTAAAAATTCAAGCCAACAATTAACAAAGGCAGTATCTGATGGCATTTCATAATTCCATGAATCATTTTGAGAGTTTTTCCAAGGTTTATACTTCAAAAGCTGATATTTACAATATAGGGGATAATTCACCCCTTTTGGATTGAAAGAATAACAAGGGAAGAAGCGCAGAATGACTTTTGATGATTGTTTGACAAGTCTACTGTTGGCAATTTTGTAGTCTGTGAATACTGAGCTAAATTAAGTTTCATCACAAATGGAAAATCATTCTTAAAAGATTCACGCTTCGAATATTTATCCAATATGGAGTCATTGGTGCAGCTACTATTTGGGTATTAAAAATGCTAGATGTGCGACCAGGATTCAATTACTTCTCAGGGGGTCAAGCAACAAGAGAAAGATCACGGCAAGCAACAAGAGAAAGATCGTGTTTTTGACGTGCTGAGAAGCAATGGGTATCCTAAAATATTTCTGGACGAAGTTGAGAAGAGACGTGCAAGGAAAACAGAATTCGTGCCATCACCCGAAGAACTTGTACGTATGTTTTTTGAAAATGTCAAACCAGAGAACAATCCCAGCTACACAGTCCTCCCCTACATTAACAGCTCAACAGAACCCCTGAAAAGACTACTCAAACGATACGGCATCAGAACCACTCCGAACATTAGAACAAGGTTTTCCATCACCAAAGGACAGACCACTTCCCGAAAAACAGATCAATGTTGTGTACAAGATTAATTGCGCAGACTGCTCCTGGAGCTACATATGTGACACGACTGGCAGAGCTCTCGGAACGAGGAAAAAGAAAAGAAAACAAAAGAAACATTGAAACAATGTAAATCCGGCTCAAACATAGCAAAACATGTTTGGACTGAGGACCATAAAATCGACTTTGATGAGTGCGAAATCTTAGACAAGGAAACCTATCGACACAGAGCAACACTGGAGTCCTGGCATACAGCAACCACAGTCAATTCTGACAACAATGGGCAACATTTACCAGAACAATATACGTTTTTATTAAAAAAGAACAGATTCATATTTCTGCTTTGAAGATCACACGTAATATCATTTATATAAATTAAAAAAAAGCAAAGGGCCCAAAACGGAACCCTGAGGAACGCCGGCTTCAATTTGTATCCAGTCCGATGACTGACCATCTATTATGACACGCTGCTTTCTTTCTGATAAATAACTTTTAATCCATTTAAGAAGAGGATCTCTTACTCCCAAATATTCTAACCTACGGAGCAATCCTTTGTGTCAAACTTTATCAAAGGCCTTACTAATATCCAGGAAAACCATCCGAACCTCTTTCCTTCTTCAAGAGCCTCGTAAATTTTGTGTACAATGAAAACAAGCTGATTTACGGTCGAATCTCCAGGTCGAAAACCAGATTGAAAAGGATTTAGGAAATGAATCTCAAGCAAAAAAATATATAGCCTAATAAATACTATTTTCTCGCAAACTTTCGACAAAGACGATAATAAAGAAACGGGACGATAATTCTCTTTCGATTGGCGATTATCCTTTTTAAAAATTGGTATAACATTTGCCAATTTCCAGCTAAGCGGAAATTTTCCGTTAGATAAGGATATATTAATAAAACGGGAAAATGAATTTGCAATACCAACAGCACATGTCTTAATTAGAAAATTTCCTACGCTGTCTACACCACAGCCTTTTGAAACATCGACAGTGCTTAATAAATCTTTAACTTTATTTTCGGTGGTGGATAAATGCGAAAGAATTTTTGAAGTTTGAAATTTGTTTAAAATAGGCACCCGGAGCATTGTTATTTTCCACTTTACACTGGGAAATAAAATACTCATTGAAAAGTGTGGCTTTTTCTTTCGCATCCGTTATCACACGGGGTCCGTCTTGTATAACGGGTATTTTGGATTGAATTTTACTCCCATATAATGACTTAACAAGACCCCACCACTTTTTTGGACCTAATTTACGATCCTGTAATTTTTTATTGAGATTTGCAAAATAACTTACTTTGCATTTACGTATTAGTGCCGTCGTCAGATTTCTTTGCAATCTACAATTTTCCCATGTACGCAGACTTTTCCGTCTGCAGAAAAAATTTAGTAGTCTATTCCTTTTGCGGATGGCTATTCTGATTTTTGAATTCATCCAAGGTTTATCTCTTGGACGAATTATCACAGTCCTTTTAGGCACAAAGGACTCAAGAATATGATGAAAACGCTGAAACCACCTATTGTATAACTCATCAACATCGTCAACATTATAGAATACTTCGTCCCATGCAGTGTTTTCAAGAACCTCACGTAAAGCATTTACATCTATTTTGGAATAATCCCAGATATGGCGTGTATAACACTTTTGTTTTTCTAGCGAAATACTCATCCGAGCATAAACCAGCGAGTGATCACAATTACTTGGCGGGCTTATAGTTCCAGAATTCACAAAATAACCTGGAGAGTTTGTAATTATAAGATCTAATAAAGTGGCACTATGTGCAGTAATGCATGCTGGTTCATTTATAACTTGAAACAGGCCATTGCATTCCAGCCATCTGTATAAATGTGATCCGAAATCATTATTGGGCAAAGTTTCCCCCATTACAAAATCAGCATTAAAATCCCCAAAGAGTAAAACAAAGGTACCAGGTACTTTATTTATTTCGTCTCAGCAGAATTGCAAATGATCCAATGTTGTACTTTAAATTATTATTTATTCAAAATAGATTGTATTGTATCTCCAGTATGTGTGCGGCGCGACTTGTGAATCTGTTACTCATTACTTGCTAGAGTGTCCCCGATACTCTTTTCCATTTCCTTCTTTCTTGTTCTTTTTTTTTTTTTTAAAAATATGTAAATGTTATATGATGTAAACCCCTCGATGAGCTTCATAGCTCTTGGGCAAACGTCATTAATGAATATATACGTTTAAATAAAAAAAAATTAAATAAAAAATAAATATCTTGTGCTACAATTTGTGCGACGCTCAACTGTATTTACTAAATCTATATAGTCACTTTCTTCATCAGAATCAGAGATATTTATGTGTCGCTTTGAACATGGATGAATAGGTGGTTTTGTCCACAATTTAGATTGAGGTGAAAAAATATTCCATGTAGTAATAAGTCTATCAACATAATCACAAACAATTTGGGAAGCTTTTCTCTGCTCATCTATTTTCATTTGAAATAGATTTGTTTGTCAACACCAGTGTTGTGTCTTTCTGCTAGAAACACTTTTATTGCTACATCTATGAGCTCACAAAGACCAGATCAGATTTCAATTTTGCAGCACCATGGCAATGAATACTACCTCTAGCTTGAAACTCATATTGATACCAATGCCATTAAGCATCTAATGTATCATACAACCAATGTTTCAAAAATGATTCTAGATGTTTAGTAAAACACCAATCAACTAAGTGAGGATTAAGTTCTTTGATTGTTTGCATGGCGATAAAACATAATAGTTTTGTTTGTGGAAACACCACGAAAACGTAAACACCACATAAATGACGACGTTGCAGTAATAAATTTATGTGGTGTTTCCACAAACAAAACTATTATAAGTGAGGATTGTCAATAACATTTTTACGTTTGTCCTCTTTACTTAAATTATCATCACTTGGAGAAAAAAGTGAATGCAATTCAGGCCAGTAAAGATCTGCAGAAGAGAATGTGAAAAATATTGTTGGGGCACCTTTTGCAATAATGATTGCCTTTAAGTCTTCCTTAACTTTAAACCAATATGCACAACTGCCAGTGACATTTGCTACGTATCTAGAAAGTTTCGACATAAAAGTTGATGAACTGTTACTACAGGCCATTTCTTGTAATTCTTCCACAGTAAGATGAGATTCATTTGGATTCTGCTTGAGAAAAATGGAAGTTTGTTGAATGGCACATTTCCTTTGGATCATATTTAAAGCCCAATATGAAAACCTTGGGTGAGAAGAAAACCTGTACACCCATTTTCCATCAATATTTTCAGAATATTTCAAAAGATGTTGAATTTGATTACCAAAAGGTACATCTCTTTGCAGACAGGGATTGGTTGGATCGCCATTACCATCTGGAAAAAGTGTAGGAAAAACAAGGGTGGCAAGAAATGGTGTTGTATACTAATTTATTTTATTTCTTCACTTTCTAAACAGCTATTTGAAGAGACTGGGTGAAAGCTATTTGTTTCTTTGTCACAGTTAACAACTTCCCCTCCAGTTAAAATTGTATCAGTATCCTGATCAACTGCATCTGGGTCTTCTAATGTTTCTATTGTTGGTATATTAGAAGGAATAACGTTACTTGGTCATGATTCTAATGCATTTGTATCTATAGTCACATATCTGTATTGTGGATTATGTTTTAGCAACCAATGTAATGCTTGCTCACCTTTTTGTCTCCAAACTAAAACATCTTTTAGAGCATTGTCCTTCCCTTTCATAGTAACAATTATAATTGGTATATCAGAAGAACACGTCGAAGAGAATTAGCTAACTCTGACACTTTTTAAGGCAAATTTATACAATGTCCAATATATCCCCTTTGACCACCAGGTTTTACATACACTTTCAATATGGTGAGTGCTCTGGCAATGAGCATTTCTTCAATTTGAGTTAAGCCCTGCAACGCATCAGGCACACTTGAAAGAATCATACTATTCTGAGTAGACAATTTCCTTGGATTTTTTTTTGTCACTTTTGCATATACGGCAAACATAATTGGCAGCACATTTTGGTTTGATTTTTACAGGCTTTGCTTCAAAACATTCAGAACACATGTTTTTCAGAACACTGAATGGTGGTATACTGCATTGATTCATGGAATAAACTAAGGTTTGCCTTGTAACTTTCAGAACCAATGGAATCTGTCTTTTGGTGTTGTTTAAGGTTTTGAGTTTTTTTAGATGATTTTCTACTAAATGTACTATGCTCATTACTTATAGAACCTTCAGACAAAACATGACCTTCTTGCATGTCAACATTCTGCTTACTACTATATGCATCATGCTCATTACTTATATCACCTTCAGACACCAAATGACCTTCTTGCATGTCAACATTCTATTTAGATTTTGACAACTTACTTGAAAATGGGCTAGCATGAGACTTTTTTGTTGTTGTTTAAAACACTTTTTTCATATGTTTTTTACTTAAAAAATATGAATCAGAAGAACAGTAAATACTTTTTCTTTTGTCATACAAATTTTGTTTATCAGACCTTGCATTTATGCATACATCAAGAACAACATCATAATGTATACCAGATGTATTTTGAATGTAAATGGAAATTATGCTTTGAGGCTGCAAACCATCCAGCATTGACTTCGAAAACTTATTCCATACAAAATTATTACCTGCACTTCGATACACATAAATATCAGTGCTAAGCGAAGAAGCAGCAGCAAAAATTTCAATGTCAGTCCTTCTCGGCCCATGCCACTTGATTGGATATAATTACTCAAAGACATCATGTTCACATGTGGTAGCAACTGGTTTTCAATGGTTCTCATGTGATCTAATATGTTATATCTTACAACAGAGTGGTAGACTTGTCTCCCAGTAATAACATATGAAAGAGCTCGAAATAAACGATTCCCGTCACCCAAAATGTTATGCAGTGTGGCTGGTTTAGTTAGTATTTTTGAGTACCTTTGTTGCATGAGGCAAGACAAGTGGCAAGTTTACTAAAGAGCACATAAATCTCTGGGCATTTTCATCAACTGGATTGAACAAGAACGGACAAGCCATAGTTAAAAATTGCACTAACAGCAGTAAATTAAACACCACTTTTAAAAACAATCAACATTCAAGCTTTATAGTGTATTAATCAACCAATATTGTTGGTCAAAACGAGGTGTGCGTACACACCAAAACATGAGGCATGCAAACACACCAAAACATGAGGCATATCTCGTACCTTTTACCAATAATGATCCAGTACCACCAATAATGATCTTCGCACTACATTAATAGTCAAACAAATTGAAAATCAATAAAAAATATCCAGCCACAGCCAACTTTACAATATTAGGACAATTTATAAGGTTAAAATCTCTTACCTTTTTAAGGTTTTATAGTCTAATAGTAATATTTCGCACGAGGCGTCAGGCGAGCAAAGACGCCAAACTGAACACGAGGCTCAAATACGCTGAAAACAATTTTAAACAGGCCAAAGTAAAATGTTTTTCTATCTTAAAACCTTAAACTGATTAAAAATAGTTTACAAATCGAAGCAAGTAAAACAATAAACAGTATATTTCAAATACGCCACATGCAAATACTATCTGTCACACGTCTCACGAAATGCTAAACCAAATATCCAGCCACCAAATGCGCTGATATTACAGGGTATATATAGCGAAACAAATTACACTAAACCTTAGACTGATTAAAAATAGTTTACAAATCGAAGCAAGCAAAACAATAAACTATATATTTCATATAGCCAAACAAATTACACTAAACCTTAGACTGATTAAAAATAGTTTACAAATCGAAGCAAGGAAAACAAACAATATATTTGAATACGCCACATGTCGCACAAAATGCCAAACCAAATATCCAGCCACCAATTGTGCTAATATTACAGGGTGTATATAGCGAAACAAAGTACACTAAAGAATCGTGCAAAACAACAAACAACTGCCAATCTTGCACTTATTGAAAAACAGAATATCGGTTGATATCTCATACCTTTTACCAATAATGATCCAATACCACCAATAATGATCTTCACACTACATTAATAGTCAATAAAAAATATCAAGCCATAGCCAACTTTATAATATTAGGACAATTTATAAGGTTAAAATCTCTTACCTTTTCAATGTTTTATAGTCTAATTCGAATCTCTTTTCTTCGCAATATGCCAATATGTTTCAAAGCGTGTTCAGGAACAATATGAGCACAGAGCACGTGTTGAAGAAACTGTTATAGAAATCACCAGTAACATCGAGAGCCAGGAATACAGACGCCAAGAGATCATCGATATTGGCTATCCACAGCATCCACAGGCTGGTGGTACTGATGATTTGGAAACATTTTTTGTATTGAAAAAGGAAGACAGCTCTATTTTTGTTTGTGCTCGATCTGTCCTTCCTGACAGACATGGAAAAACAATACGCCAGAGTTTCCACAAGCCGGAAAACTATCTACCACCACCACCTTAAGAAGACGTCAATATTGCTGTTTAAATTGTACATATGATATTTAAAATTTTAATTAGGCCAAATTGTACAGTATATTCTATTGTTATATACCAAGTGTCGAAGTTCAATTTTCCTTTTTTAAAATTGGACAATGTGCATTGTTTTGGAACGAGGCAACCAGTCCAAAATCTTACTGAAACCCCTAAAAATTTACTAAAACCTCAGGAAACAGTGAGTTTTGTGGCATCGGGAAACATTGACAGTCTCGGCACAACAAAACTCACTGTTTCCCTCTGTATCAGTAAGTAAGTGATAATTATTAACCCATTAACGACAAGTACTCTACCACTGACAAATAAAATTGTCTGGCATCAGAGAGAGTAAATACTAAAGTACGGTGCATTGCCTGCTAATGGGTTGTTAACAAGACACATTGGCAAATAGGTTTGTTAACCCATTAACGACCAGTTCTCTGCCACTGATGAGTAAAATTGTCTGGTGTTAGACAGAGTAAATCAGTAAATACTAAAGTAGTGCACATTGCCTATTTATATATTGCCTGTTTATATTTGGGCGCATTGGCTGTTAATGGGTTAAAATATTTATGCTCATAAATCCAATATGATCTTTTGTATGTGTAATATTTTGGTCATTCTAAGATGAAATAAAATATGTATTTGTAGGAGATAATCTCATATCTGAGACCATGACAGTGAAACATTTGATCAATATATAGTAAGCTTTTTCCTATAAAAATTTTATGATTGTATTTCTTATTATCCACTATGACCCAATCACCCAAATATTAAGAAAAAATCATATTAAGTGTTTGTAGCACTTTAAATTGGATCATTGTATTCTTATGTTTTACTGTCTGGTAGCCATATGTTTCTTTTAAGAATTAATATTTTTGCAAAATATCTGTGGGCCTTAGCTGCATATATATATTTATATATTACATTGTTTAATGCAATTACTGATGTTATTCCTCTTTTCTCATTGCATCTGTCACTTTTGGCAGTTTTCTTGCTGTAATGTATCCAATTGGTTTACATATTCCCAGCAAAGCTTTCACAAC